TGAAACAACAGGTCGAGGCCTTGACCCTGGAGGCGACGTCCCCCCACCTGACACAGCAGTGCAGCAGCGCCAAGTCCGCCACGTCATCGGGGCCCAGCCTGCTGGGCAGCGTGTCAAACCTGCCCATCCCGCGTGTGGAGTCGCAGCGGCCCTGGTTCTGGTGGGTGCGCACGGCTGTGGGGGATGCTTCCCTGCTGCGCTTTTGCCGGGTCTGCGGCAAGCAACGCGACAGTCCGACCACACTTTGCTCAAATGACGCACGCACACACGCACCGATGCGGTGTCGCACCAAGGCGCCAAGGCACCAATACTATCACCGGCTGCGCAGGCAGGCCATCCTGGACCGCCGGCGGCATCAGTCCCAGGCAGCAGCCGCGGCCACGGCTGCGGCCTCAGCACCGGACTTGGGAATCCGCATCGGAGGCGGCGGCGCCGGGCGCAGCGCGTTCTCCTACGCAACGACGCCGCCGCAGCGGGGCCCGTCTCAGTTGGACGTAGGCGGGGGAGGTGATGCGCCGCCGCACGCGCCGCACAGCAGGGCGCGGCTGGATTCCGCTGCGGTGGCGCTGACAGAGGTGAGGGTGGACGCGGGCGGCCTGGACGACGTCGCAGAGGGTGATGTAGAGCTGACATCACCACCCGCAGAGGCTCAGCCACTTTGCGACCAGCAGCAACAGCACCGGCAGCAGCAGCGGGAGCAGCACGAGCAGCAGCACCAACGGGAGCAGCAGCGGCAGCGGGACGCGGCAGCTAGAGCGGCGGCGGCGTCGCCCGCGCCAGAGTCTGTCGCGGACGGCGCGGGGGCGCGCGGGGGCGAGCAAGGTGCAGAGGCGTCCCGCGCGGCCAACGCGGTGGCGGCCAAGACGTTCAGTGCTCTGGTGCGCAAATACGCTGCCCTGTCAGAGGAGGAGGAGGCGGCGCAGCTCAAGCTGGCGGGGAAGTTTGGCAAGGGTGAGACGCTGCTGCACCAGCTGTGCTCCAGGTGCAGGGTTGCGCGTGAGGAGTGGACTCAGTGTGGTCATTGCACAGGTCATGCCTTGGACACATCAAACCTGCAAATGGCGCATGCGCAGACGCATGCGCACCTCAACCCCTCCTTCATGACCCTGACCGCCACCCCTGCTCCTTCCCTGCCGTGCCAGGTCTGTTTGAGAACTGCCGCCGCGACCCGCGCGCCCCCGGTGTGACCCTGGAGGACTTCCTGCCCTTCTTCCCGGACGACACGGCGGCGGCCCAGGCCTTTGACTTCTTCGACAAGGACGGAGACGGTGGGGGGGGGGGCGCGGCTTTGTATATGTGTATGTATGTGTGTGTGTGTGTGTGTGTGTGTGTGTGTGTGTGTGTGTGTGTGTCTGTAAGTGCGGGTGCGCGTGTGAGCATGTGCGTGTGTGTGTGGCTGTGTGTGGAGGGGGACGAGTGCCCAAGTGTTGTGGGTGACAGGGATTGTCTTGCCATCGCCAGGCGCACAGCTATGGTGCCGAGTCCTCACTGTCTGCACCCTTGGCACGTCGACCCAAGGATTCTGTTGACCAGCGTTGCATCAACAGCCTTGTGCGTTGTTGCCCTCCTCCCTTGACAGCCACCCCACCTAACCCATGTCCCACAACCCCCCCGGCCCCCCCAGGCTTCATCTCCAAGGCGGAGATGAAGGAGGCCGTCACAGCCATCGTGGCGGAGCGCAGGGGTGAGGGGAGGGGGACGAGGATGCAGTGAAGAAAGTGAGGGGCGTGTCCATACTCGCACAGTGCAGGGCAGCACCCGTGTGCGAGAGGCAGGGGTAGTGGGCAGTATCGGTGCGCCCACACTTTCCCGCCCATCCACACTGACTGTTCTTGCCCCCCTCTACCTCCGCTCCCTCATACACAAGACATGGCGACCTCCCTGCGCGACACCGACTCAATAGTGGCGTCCCTGGAGGCGTTCCTGGCTGGCCTGGTGCACCTCACCTTTATCGCGTTCTACCTCCTGGTGTGGGACATCAACGTGAGGATCAACGGGAGGGGGGGCCTTGGGGTGGCTCGGGGTGGATGTGGACTGCTTTTGAGGAGGGGGGCGTGGTGTTTGGTAAAGGCAGATTGTGTTCCTCGCTGCTCCTCATACCGCTGCAGCACCTCCAATCCCCACTCTCACACAAACGTCCCCATCAACCCGCCTCCAACACCCTCCCCCCCAACCGACAACCCCAGGTGATGTCGGGCTTCTCCACCTTCTCAGCGACAGTGCTGGCCCTCACCTGTGAGGGAGCGGCTTGAAGGCGGGGGATGGGGTATCACGTAGAGTCGTGACGTCCTGCGGCGCCCGAGCGCGAGCCGACCCCGCTTCACTGCCAGGGGGAGTGGCAGAGCGGGGCGACAGGGTAAAGGGTTCACCCAGCCTATGGTTGCGCTCCACAAACCCGCTTGCCCCCCCCCCCCCCACCGCTCACCCCTGGCCGTCAGTTGTATTTGGGGAGAGCGTGAAGAATGTGTTCCAGAGCGCAGTCTGGTGAGCGCGGGGTTGAGGGGTGGTGGGGGTGGGGGACCTGACACCAGTCATGGCCTGCCTGACTGGCGCACGCACTCTTCGAGCCTGCCTGCCTGCCTCCCGGGCAGCTGAGGGGCAAGGTCCTGCTTTGAGGTGTACGCCAGGCGCAGCGCAGCTCCTCAGGCTCAGGGTTGACAGAAGCCTTGCACCAAGCATGCTCTTCCCCTCCACCCCTGACTTGAACGACCGTTCCTGGTGCCACCGCTGCTCGCACCCTGCAACTTTGCTTCTTTCCGCTCCCCCCTTGGCAACATCCCCCAGGCTGTTTGGCAACCACGCCCTGGACGTGGGTGACACCATCATGATGCCTCCAGACGACACCTGGCACCGCGTCAAGAAGGTGGGGGGCCGGGGGCGGGGCAAATGCATGGGCGCCTTGTGGGATGCCGTTGTGTTTAGGCTTGTGTGTATGTGTGTGTGTGAGTGTGTGTGTGTGTGTGTTGGGAGGGGTGGGCCGCTTTGGTGGGGGGGCGTTGAATTGGAGGGTGTGAGTCACGTTGCTGTGGCATGACACAAGGGAGCGGGCACCCAGTTGCCAGACGCTAGGCACCCTGCAGGCTGTCAAAGCGCGAGCGGTGTGCGGCTAGCTGAGCCTGAAACGACGTGCTGGCAACCAATTGCGACCTTCTTGGTGGCTGGGAGCCGGGTACGTGCGCACATTGATCGCTGCATCGCGCCCCTTGAGCTCCCCATTGTTGGGCGGCTGACCCCCTTCCCCTTGCACCCCACGGCCTCAGTTTGGCCTGGTGGACACTGTGCTGGTGAGGGAGAACGGCGACCTGGTGCACGTGCCCAACAACAAGCTCTGGTGGGCCGGGGGAGGGGGGGGGCGTGGGGGAGCGGGGGGGAGCGGCCGGCAGGGGTGGTGGTATGCTACACGCAACCACCCCTGCAGGCAGGTTTTGGGTTCCGGCATGCCGCCTCAGCTTCCCGCTGTCCACGCGTGTAGACCAGGTCTTTGACCCCTGGTCACCCCCCAGTCTCCCTGCAGCCTCTGCACGCACCTCTCACAGCAGTACGCAACACACGGCGCCCGCGCAGGACTGCGCCCATCGTCAACCTCACACGCAGTGGCAGGCGCACTGACATCACGCGCATCCTCATTGACACAGGTGAAGCGCCAGCAAGCACACAAGGGCTTACGCTGCGGCAGTCGCGCATCGCAGCGCAGGGGTTCCCACCACCCCAGTCACGGCGCGAGCTGTGCTGCCCGTTGCAGCGACCAGGCCACCGCAAGCGCACCCCGCACACCCTTGCCGCCACGACCCCCGACCCCCGACCGCTGCCCCCAGATGCCCCGTCCAAGGCGCGTGACGTGCTGCGCGACGCCCTGGTGGCGCACTGCGCCGGCCCTGGCAAGGGCGACTTTGTTGGGGAGCCGCGGGTGCGGTTCAGCGGGCTCACCCCTGAGGGCAAGTCGCGGCTGTCTATCAGCTGGACCTACACGTTTGGGGGTGAGCGGCCTTGGGCACGCACGCGTGTGCACATGTGTGTGTGAGCGCGTGCGTGTGTGTGTGTGTGTGAGAGTGTGGAGGGGGGACATGGTTGGCTTTGGGGAGGAGAGGCAAGCGGGAGATGGGCGGAAGCAGTGGAGGGGAGTTTGGGGGCCGGGGACAGTGCGCAGGATTGGGCATGATGTATTTGTCGTCCACCTCAATGGACGCTTCACTGCAAGGACAGGAAAGCACCCTGTCATGCTGCCGCACTTCCAGCCCAGGGCCGCGGCCAACGCCTGACGTAACCTTCCCCCCTTTCCCCTGTTCCTCCTGCAGCCACGGATGCGCGCTATGCTGTGGTGCGGGACAGCATCCTAGCGGTGATGAAGGACGCACTTGGCGGCTTTGGGGCGATGCACACGCTTCCGGTGCGCAGCATGCCGCAGCACCACAAGAGTGACTGAGGGGTGCCCGCCTCACTTGGCCTGGAGGAGCTGAGGGCCGCGGGCACGAGACCCCCGGAGGGGCCGCCTTTGTTTGAAGGGGCCGCATAACCCAGGGCTGCGCCGTTCCTCCCGTGGTCAGCAATCAGGGCTGCAGCAACAAGCACTGCCCCACACAACTTGGGCCCGGCGATGCTGCTCTAATCAGCACTTTAGCCGTGTGAAGAGCTGCCCCAGTGATTCAGGTTTATGAGCGTTTTTATCAGGCCATGTGACGCCCGTTGTTATCAGCCCTGTGTCGATGGCTGCTTGGCGCTGGCTGTTGGCAGACACTTTTTGGGCGCATAGATGCGAGCGTTTATGTGATGGGCTTCCTTGCCCGCATGTTGAGACCATGTGCACAGCCTGCAGTAGAATCAGAAGTTACTGTGTGGATCAATTACTTGGCTGGGAGCTCTAAACATGCATGAGTGGCACACCCGCAGGACCCTGTTACACAACTGCCTCGTGAATCTCACACCAACCCTCAGCTGCGTGTGAGGGCTGGCGGATGAGGTGTTGAGGCCGCCTGCAGCAAGAGGGTCGCCCCTCACCCGGCCTGCCGGGCCTCTGTGACCCTCCCGCCCCGTCCTCCCGCGCTCTACTCCTCGTCGTCGCTCATCATCATCTCGCCGCCGTCCAGCATGTCCAGCAGGGCGCTGTCATCCTCCACCACTGCAGGGGGGGTTGGGGGGAGGGGTTGGAGGTGGTCGTGGGTTGAGGGTGGCACTTCTTTGTGTGGTAGGGGGGATTGAGCGTGATTCATCCTGGGTGCAGGCTGCCAAGTGCCGCGCTGGCGTGCAGCGCAGGGAGCCGAAGCAACGCCACAATAGAAGTTGGGCGTGGTGGCCTGGCAGGTCAAGGAGCACTGGCCAGCGTTGCTGCCGTTGCACTGAACTGTCACGTGCTCCAGCAGCCTAGGCCCGCTCGACTGCCGTGCAGCCCCCTAACCCCAGACGCACCATCCTCCTTGCCAAAGCCCTTGGCGGTGAACATCATGTCCACCTGCGGTGGGTGTCGGGTTACGTTTGAGCCCACGAATTGAAGGGTTGCAAGTATGCGAGGGTTGCAGCGTCATGAGGCGCCCCTCTGTCGTAGGGCGCCCTCACACACGCTGCTCGCAGTGCCCTGGGGACTAGCTTCCTGCCGCAAGACACGCCCAATTGCTCGCTGCGGCCCCGCTGCTATGTGGCCCCAGTAGCTGGTCCCACCCTCGCACGCCCTTACCTTGCCGCCGGGCACGATGAGGCCCTTGTATGTGGGCTTGTTGACGATGAGCACATTGAGGAGGTACTCGCCTGCAAAGGGGGGAAGCGCGCGCCCGCACGGTGATTGTGTGTGTGCGCCAGCGGCAGCATCAGCCTGGCTCTACCATCCACCCTGCAGCAGGTCCTGCAGCAGACACTTGGCTCAGGGAACATACAAGCAGGCCAGCTGGCGTAGCCAGCAAGGGCTGGGGCCACCATGCCAACCCCAGCGTTTGCTCCCTTCACCTGCCTGCCTCCGTGCCCCCCCCCTCATCCCGCTCACACTCGTCGCCGATCTGCTTCTCCTCGCCCTCCGCCCCCATGAGGAACTTGACAAAGCACCGGGTGGTGGCCTCGTCCGCCACCGCAAATTCAAAGGTCTCCTCCCATGTGGGGTCCAGGCCTGCAGGGATTGGTTGCAGCGAACAGCGGGGGCGGCGGGTGGTTCACTGAAGGTCATAAAGGCGCAAAAGGGATGAGAGGCAATGAGCTCCAAGCAAGGAGTGACCGGGTATGGTCCACTAAACCGAGTCTCTCAGGCCAGTCCAGTCCCCATTGGGCTGCTGGCACCCACTCGGCAATGCTGTGCTCCTCCACTGCGCTCACAGCGGCATCGTGCCCACAGGATCACTTCCTCTGCAAAATCTCCTCAACCAATCACAGACACCAGGCCCTCCAGAGAACCCACACCCAGCACCTCATGAGCGCCGCTTCTTACCCAGGCCGATGGTGGTGCGCTGCTCCTCGTCACCAACCCGCACGACCACCTGGGATCGCTGCTTGGTCACACCGTAAGCCTGCACGTGCAGCGTAAGGCGTAATGGGAGCGTCACAGCTGCGCGTGACAGAGCTGAGTGTTGCGCATTTCGGGACTGTTTGGCATCGGGCTAGCGCGCTGCTGCAGCCGCCATTTGCGGCAGACCGCGCGTGGTCGCTGGCTGCCAGCCCCTAATCACGGATGACGATAAAAATGCTTAATCCCGAATGACACCCTGGAGCAGAGGCCTCGTGGAATCGGGGGCAAAAAACGGCACCTTGAGATCCAGCTTCTTGACATTGCAGCTCGCGACGTTGACGATCAAGGTTTTCGACATTTTGCGTCGATAATCCCTTCTTCCTCGCGGAGATGCGGATGCAGGCGTCCACGGAGAGTAAATGGCGGTCAGATCACGGGCTACAGTCTCGCAATCTGATTAGAAGACTTGATACTTTTTAGAGATGGACGAGTGTGGTATTATTGCGGATCGTAGGGACCGGGATTGGTTACTCGGGTGACCCTCGCCGTGTTCGAGCAGCTCGGCATCCGCTAAGCACTGCGCCGTACCTCCTTGAAGCAGCGGGTACACAAAGAAACGAGATATCATTTTCAAATGGAGAAGCCTACCAGAGGCCTTCTTCACTGTCTATGGGCTGAGGGACCGGTCAAACAACATCGTCACATTTTGCATCAATTTCTCGGCCTGTTGCGCCCACATTCCCACCCCGCATGCACCGGTAATGCATACACACCATGATGCACGAGCAGCGTTACTGAAGCACCACCCGTTTGGCACGTTATGAGGTTGTTTGTGTCAGCTTTTCGGCTTCAAGCGAGCATCTTTGCCGGCCCGTGCATGCTGTGCAGAGCTCATCGGCACAACGTTAAGACTGGTGGTCTGCTTGCCTGCACCAAGAGGTTTGATTTTGTTACACACAGTTGAATTAGCAAAATAAGAGGACCACCCCAGGCCTTAGAAGCCGACACTCGCCCAGCCCTGCAGTGCGGTTCAATGGGTGATAGATCCAAGGGCAGGATGCATGTGTCAGGTGCGCATTTGTACGTGGGGGCCCAGTGGGTGTGCACAAGCACGCACGTGTGCATGCACACCATGACTATTATTGTGCGTGCTTATTGCAGATTTAGCTGTGTGTTTTGCAAACGTGTATGCAGATGATTGAACAGCATGACAGGCGCAAGGCGCCTAATGACCACACAACCAAACACTCGATAATCATTTGCTCACACACTACACTGTAGGCAAGCCAGCATGAATGCACATGCACGCACACACAATAGCACCCACGCACGCACACACACGCATGCACACACGCACGCACGCGCACGAGCGCGCACGCACGCGCACACACACACACACACACACACACACACACACACACACACACACACACACACACACACACACACACACACACACACACACACACGTGGCGCATGCAGCCCCATCCCCTCACCATGAACGCCAGGCCGTTGCCAGTCACCGCCATGCTGCTGCCAGGCGCCCCATACCGCGCCAGCAGCTCCCCGTGCTCCAGCCAGATGCACCCCACAAATACGCCGCCGCGGGACCCCGCGAGCTCCTGCAGCGGGCGCCCGCTGCCCACGGCGGCGTCCGCCACCTGTTCGAGCAGCAGGCGCTGCTGGGGGTCCATCATGGCCGCCTCCGCGGCGGACAGCCCGAAGGCCGCCGCGTCGAAGCAGTGGACGTCGGGCAGGAAGGCGCCCCAGCGCGTCGAGACGCGTGGCGATGACGTCATGCTGACGTCAGGGGCGGCCGGGTGGTAGACGGCGTCCACGTCCCAGCGGGGGTAGGGGGCGGCCGAGTGGAGCTCCGAGCCGTCGCGCATGGCCGCGTAAAGGCCGCCCGCCCCCGCGGCGCCAGGGAAGCGGACCGACAGCGCGGTCAGCAGCAGGGGGCCGCGACGCGGCGCAGCGGCGGCCATCGACGCAGTGGGACCAGCGGCCGGCTGCAGGGGCGGCGGATCGCGGGCATCGGTTGGAGCTGCGGAGGCGCTGTCGCTTGGGATGCCTCCGGGGTACTTGGTGGTGGCGATGAAGCCTGCAACAATGGTTGGCAGCGCGCAAACAAGCCGCAGCGGAAGCGTCGGTGCATCGCCGGGCCATGATTCATGCCCACAAAACAGGGTAACCTGCATCTAATTCATGCATCCTCCGCGGCGGACCGCAAACTCATCCGCGCAAGAGAAGCCCCAGCCACGGCCGCACCCATGCTCAATTAAGCCCTCTGGCCCCCTGGACCTTCCACGTACCCGCAACCGCCGCCGGCGTCGGGTGGTCAAACGTGAGCGTGGGCGGCAGGTCGACCTCAAACATGTCGGACAGCGCGTTGCGCAGCTCCACCGCGCCCAGCGAGTCCAGCCCCGACTCCATCAGCGGCGCGTCAGGCCCCAGCTCCCGCCCCACCACCGACGCGACGGCCGCGGCAACGCGCGCTGCGATCGAGCCGAGGGCCGGGGCTGTGGCCGCCGAGGGGCCTGCGGCGGCGGCGGCGGCAGGGGCTGCGGCAAACGCCTCAAAGAGGGCAGGCGGATGCGGCAGGCGGGCCAGAAAGCGGCGCCACTTGATTGGTGTCGCTGCCACGACGGGCTTGGTGCTGGCGGCGGAGGCGGTCAGGGCGCCCTCGAGCGCGGCCAGGCCCGCCTTCGGGCTGACCAGCGCCATGCCCATACGCTCCACGCGCGCAGCCGTCTGGGGGTCGTTGGCCGCCATGCCCGCGCCCGCCCACGCGCCCCATTGCACGCTGAGCGCCGTGACGCCGCCGGCCTGCAGCGCCGCCGCCGCCGCGTCGAGTGCTGCGTTGGCTGCGGAGTAGTTGGCCTGGCCGGGGCTGCCCAGCAGGGACGCCACTGAGCTGAAGAGCACGGTGGTGGCGACAGGGTGGCGGCGCAGCAGGCGCTGCAGCAGCTCCAAGGCCTGGACCTTGGGGCCAAACACCTGTTGCGCAATTGGAGGGGTAAAGGGAAAGACAACTCAGCAGAAGGGAGGTCAGCGAATTGTTTAGTGCAGGGTACTCGTGGATCCACAGCAAGTGGCCTGTAGGCTTCCAGCTGACTGACTTGTTGTCACAGCAAGCACTGTTTACAGAGAGATCACATATCTTCTGATGCAGCATCCCCTCACCTTGCGCACGCCGCTGGCGGTCTGGTTGGCGAACGTAGCATCCGCCAGCACACCGCCGCCGTGCAGCACTCCCAGCACCTCACGGCCGCCCAGGCTCGCCTCCAAGGCAGCCGCGTCCGCCGCAGCACCGCCGTCGCACGCCACTACAGACACGGCGGCGCCCTGGGCGGCGCTGGCACGGCTTGATCCCAGCAGCTGCTCTGCCAGCGGCCCTGACAGCCGCCCGCTGCGGCTTGCGGCAGGGATCCAGCCCACCCCACTCTCCGCCAGCCAGCGCACCATCAGGCTGCCCAGAGTGCCTGTGCCGCCCAGCACGATCACTGCGCCATTACAGCCCCGCTCGCCCCTGCTGAACGGTGGGGAGCCCCTGCCTCTGCCGCCACCAAAGCCGGAAGTGGCAGGCACGGCGCCAGAGGCGCGCACCACCACCTTGCCTACGTGGCGCGCCTGGCTCAGCTGGCGCAGGGCCGCTGCCGCGTTGCGCAGATCGTGCACTGCGCTGGGCAGAGGACGCACGACGCCCGCAGCCAGGCGCGCCGACAGCCGCGCCATGGCTGCGTGCAGGCCTGCCTCAGGCATGAAGTCAACCGCCAGCAGGCTGTATGCCACGTCGGGACGCTGAGCGGCCACCGCAGTGCCGCTCCACACGTCGCGCTTGCCGATCTCCACCAGCCGCCCGCCGCGCCGCAGCAGCGCCAGCGCGCCGCCCACCATGCCCGGTGACGTCAGGGAGTTGAGCACCACGTCCGCGCCGCCAAACAGAGCGCACTCCTCAAAGCAGCCCAGGCCGCGGGAGCTGGACACGGCGTCCACGCCCAGCGAGCGCAGCAGTGCGCGCTTGGCGGGGCTGCCGGCCGTGGCCAGCGGCCGCGCTCCCAGCGCCTGCACCAGCTGGATTCCCGCCAGGCCGACGCCGCCCGCTGCAGCCGGCAGCAGCACTCGCTCGCTAGGCCGCAGGGCAGCCACTTGGTTGAGCGCTGCGTCGACGGTGATGAATACGGTGGGCATGGTGGCGGCCGCCTCAAAGCCGACGTTCTGCGGCACCGGCACCAGCGTGAGCGCAGAAGCGTGCACGTGAGAGCCCAGGGATCCGGTTGCGAGGCCGAAGACTGCGTCCCCGGGGCGCGCGCCGGCGGCGGCGTTGGAGGCGAGCACGACGCCGGCGCAGTCGCCTCCAGGGTTGCCTGGGTCGCCAGGGTACATGCCCAGGACCTGGGGTTGGGGATGGGTTGAGGGATCAAGGGGGTTTCAAAGGTACATGGACGTGGTGTTCATGTATCAGCAACTGGAATTGCTGCTAACTGCACAGCAAGTACAATATTCCAATCACCAGCAAAGCAATGCCTTCTTGCAGCCTGCAGCTCGAATGGTTCAGTCGGCGCCAACACGCACAAACACCCCTTCTCACGTTGAGCACGTCCCGGAAGTTGATGCCTACGGCCTTCACTGCCAGCAGCACCTCCCCAGGGCGCAGTGCTGACTCAGCGTTCACCGCCACAGGCACCAGGTTGCCCAGGGCGCCGCGCGGCCGCGGCACCAGCTGGTGCGGAGGGGGCGCCGCCCCCGCCTCGGCGCGCAGCATGCGCGGCGCGTACGCCGTATCGCCTGCGTCGGCGGCGCCATAGCCGTCAAACTGCCGCAGTTGCTGGGGCCCGGCTAGGAGACGGAACCCCGAAGCAGGGCTGTGGAGGGCCAGGCCAAGAGGGTCAGCGTGGTTGGCAGTGACGGCCAAGCCCGCTGCCTCTTGTGCGGCCGTCCGCAGCATGCCCCAAACCGCCTGCTCTCGCAGCCCAATCACGGCCGCGTGCGCGGGCCCTGGCGGCGCGCCGGCGGGGCCAACTGCGCGCGTGCGCAGCTGCACGCCGGCTGGCGGCGTGTTGCTACTGGCGGCGCCAGCCGCCACAAGCCCTTGCAGCAGCTGGAGGGCATCTGCGGCCGAGGCGGCGGCGCCACGCGCGCCCGCCGCCGCAGGGACCACTGCCGTCTTGGCCGCCGTCGCCAGCGCGGCAGCAGCATCCACATCATCATGCCTTGCAGGGGCATCGGCCACCCAACTGATCTGGTACAAGATCTCTTCATTTTCCGCAAGGTCCTCAGCCGAGGCGGCGGCGCGGGGCCCCTTGGGGGCGGCCGTGCCGGCTGCGGCGCCGCCGAGCAGCGCCTGCGCTGAGACCGCCCTAGACTCCAGCCCTTCGACGCTGCACAGCAGGCGGCCGCCCAGGGACAGCCGCAGGTCTCTCACCAACGCCGCCGCACCGCCGCTGGCAGCGCGCATGCTCCGCGCCACGCCGGCAGGCGCGCTCGCAACCGCAGTCGCGCCGTCCGCATCCCACGCCCGCGGCGGGCGGGCGCTGCCGGCGGGCGCGAGGGCGAAGAGCTCGAGACTGGCAGGTACAAAGGTCCGCGAGCTGCCGGCTGCCGCCTCCGCCTCTGACGCGGCGCCGCGCACTGCGGCGCCGAGCTGCAGCGCGCTGTCGAGCGCCGCCGGGTGCACGTGCCATGCGCCATGGTCCGCCACCGCCGGCCGCCCGAGCCGCGCCGCGGCGGCGCCGGCGCCGGCTTTGGCGGCGCGCAGCAGCCGGAACGCGGGGCCGTAGCGCAGGCCAACCGCTGCCAGGTCAGCGTACAGGCGCCGCGTGTCCAGCGGCTCCAGGCCGCGCGCCGCCGCGCGGTCAAACTCGCTGTCCACGGCGTTTGACCACGCCTCCCCGTCGCCATCGTCGCTGCCGCGTGCCGACAGGCGAACGAAGCTGCCCCGTGCGTGCTCCGCAACGCCACCGCCTGCCGCAGCAGCGCCGCGGCTGCAGACGCTCACGGCTCCTGTCGCTGGGTGGACATGCACCCGCAGCTCCGCGCCCCCCAGCTCCCCCCCCGCCGGCAGCACCAGCGGCGCTGAGATCACAACCTTGGACAGGCCTACGAGGTTGCCACCGTCGTCGGCCCCTGAGCTAAGCAGGCAGCAGCCCGCCGCGAGCGCCGCCTCCAGCAGCGCGGCGCCCGGCGCCACCGCCCTGGACCCCACGACGTGATCTGACAAAAATGAGAGCAGCGGGTGCGCCAGGCGCGCCACGAAGCTGCAGCGGCCGGCGGCTGCGGCGTCCTGAGGGGACGCCGATTGCAGCAGCGCATGCGCGGGCGGCAGCACATACGCGTACCGTCTGCGCCACGGCTGCGCAAGCTGCGCCGCCGCTCCGGCGCCGGCCGCGGCGGCCGCGGCCGCGGGCCGATCGACACGCAGCAATATGTGAGCGTTGCTGCCCTGGAAAGCAAAGCTGCTGACTCCACCGATGACGCTCCCCTCGCCGCCGTGGCCCGGCGCCCCGCGCGCCTGCCGGGGCATGCTGAGCGCGGCAAAGGCCCCGGGCGCCAGGGAGGACGCCAGGTGCGGGTTCAACGCCCGCAGGTGCAGCACCGGCTGCGCCGCACGCCCAGCTAACCCGCGCAGCAGGTGCAGGACGCCCGTCAGGCCGGCCGCCGGCTCGGTGTGGCCGACGCCGCTCTTGTCCGACGCCAGCGTGAGCGGCGGCGGGGCGTCGGCTGCGTCGGCACCGCCGGCAGGTGTGCGGGCGCCGCGGCCGTTGGACAGGGCTGTGGCGGCTGCCCCGACCTCAATGGGGTCACCCAGGCTGGTGCCTGTGCCATGGAGCTGCAGCAGGTCGACCTGCAGAAGGGGGACAAGGGAGGGGTATTTTAACAATGGTAACGGGTTGGATTGCAGGGCATACGCATGTATGAGAGCCCTGACAAATAGACCTGGGTGAAGAAAAAAAACCACTGAGAGCCTACTTGTGGATGGCTGCAGTCGAATAGGATCAATGAAGCTGGAGATACGTGAGACGACTCATCAGAATGGCGGAGGATTGAGTGCTGGAGCGCATGACACACCAAAACCTACCTCTGTTGGCATCAGCCCTGCCGCCGCCAGGGCCTGCCGGATCACCTCCTGCTGCGCCGGCCCGTTGGGCGCCGTGAGGCCGCTGCTGCGGCCGTCCTGGTTGACGGCGCTGCCAGCCAGCACGGCGAGGGCCCAGCTTGGTGCCGCGCCGCCCGGCACGGCGGCATCCGTGCCACCTGGCAGGTGGTGCAGCAGCAGGGCCGCCAGGCTCTCGCCGCGCACGTAGCCGTCTGCCGCTGCGTCGAGTGTCTTGCAGCGGCCATCAGGCGCCAGCATGCCTGGGCGGTGCATTTGGATATTTAATGTATGTATGGGTGGTCCATTCAGAGCTCATGAGTGCTGTGCCATCCGCACGGCACAGCTAAGTGCGCATGCTGTCACAGTGTGTTTCGCATGGATGCCAACGCCAATGAACGCACATGCATCATAGCTTATGCGCTCAGACCCTGCAAAAGCAGCCCTAGCACATGACCCCATCAAATAGTAACGATCCCACCATACCCCTCACACTCACCCGCCCGAGTGAACATTGCAGACAGGCTGGGGGTGAGTATGAGTTTCACGCCCGCCACCAGCGCCGACACGCAGCCGCCCTCGCCCATGCTGAGGGCAGCAAAGTGGGTGGCCACCAGGCTGCTGCTGCAAGCGGTGTCGACAGCCGCGCAGGGGCCGCGCATGCCAAAGGTGTAGGACAGGCGGCCGGCAGCCACGCTGATGGCGGAACCTGGAGGCGCGAGAGAACAAGGGTTCAGGGTACTGTTGATGTCGCAGCCACCAGCCGCCGAGGTGCTGCCTTATTGGTGTGTTCACGGGGCATTGTGGCAGTCATACCATCAACCTGGCCTGCTGGCTGCAAAGGGACCTGCGGTCAAACCCTGGTCAAACTCTGGTCAAACCCGGTCAAAACACCCTCGCTGAGCAAGCGTTGACCATCGTCCCCGCGCACCTGTCGCTGAGTAGACCCCGATTGGTGTTGCGGCCTTTTTCAAGTCTGAGTAATCAGGGGTACTGATGCCTGGGGGCGGGGACACATGCATTTGGGGTAGGATGCAGGGGGGTAAGATATTGCATCCAATGGTCAACGGCCACTACACAGCTAGGTGCTAGGTACATTGATTGCACAGGGAGACAAATAGCCGCCCCACTGCCCAAATGCCCAGTGGCCAAGGACTGGCATGCGTGCAGAGAATTCGTAGTTGAATACGCGCTGACTCACCCACAAACACGCCGACATGCGCAAGCCAGCCGCCGCCGGCTGCGCCGCCCACAGCATCCTTGGCCGCCTCCGGCGCCGCGGCCAGCAGCTGCGCCCCAGCTTCCAGCAGCAGGCGCTGCTGGGGGTCCACCATCACAGCCTCTTTGTCAGACAGCCCAAACGGCGCGCAATCAAAGTCCTGGGGTTCAGCGGGTGTAAGGGCACGGCGGTGGGTGCAGACGGGTGAGAAATTCACGACAGGGGTCACCGCTGTGTCGTTCGGACAGCTTTGGAAGGTGAGGTGCTCATGAAATCCCTCTGGCGCCCCAGCCCCGCGGCCGGGCTGCAGCGCAAGCGTCGGGATCCTCGAGAGGGCAACCCAACCGGCAGGTGCGCGCAGCACTTGCGACCACACCTGTGCGCCGTCGATGAAAGCGCCGAAGCGCGCCGGCCGCTCCTGCGTCAGGGACATCTCCACGTCCCACCGCTCCAGCGGCGTTGCCGCAGTGGCATCCCCCAGCGCGCCCGGCTGCCGCCCGCCAGCACCGGCGCCGCCGCAGCCATCGCCGCAGCCCGCCGCGCCACGCGGCGCACGGGCCGCGGCTGCAGAAACAGCAATCATGCCGCGGCCTTGGAGAGCGGCCGCGCGCGGCTGCAGACCCGCGCCAGTAGCTGCCGGCGAGGAAGCTGCCGCCTCGCTGGCCGCCTGCCCTGCTTCCGCAGCCACCATGCCGTCCAGAGCCTCCACCAGCGCGGCCTGGCTGGGGTAGTCAAACACCAGCGTGGCCGGCAGCCGCAGCCCCAGCCGCGCCTCGAGGGAGCTGCGCAGCTCGACGGCGCCGAGCGAGTCGAGGCCGGCCGCCATCAGCGGCGCGTCGGGCGCCACGGCGGCGCCGAGCACGTCGGAGACGACCCCCTCGACCTGCTTCCTCACGAGCTCACGCCGCTGGCCCGCCGCCATCGAAGCCAAGCGCCCGGCTGCGCCGGCGCTGGCTGCGCCGGCCGTGGCGGCGGCTGCCGAGGCGGGGGCGTCGGGGCCAGGGGCGCTGGGGGCGTGCTCCAGGAGCAGCTGGGGCGTGTGGGCGCGGCCGGCCAGCAGGCGGCGCCAGTTGAAGGGGGACGCGGCCAGGACGGGCGGCGCCCTGAAGCCGAGCCTTCAGGAGTCAGGGGCAGTGTGTGTGTGTGTGGGGGGGGGTTGAGGGGTGGAAGGGGTGGGCGGGCGTACAATGCTGCCAGCCGCTGCTGACATGGCAGTCACCCTGTGCCTGCTGCCATTCCCCTCTCGCCCCCAACGACACACGCAGGCCGCCACCTCAGCACCCCAGCTGCAGGCGGCTTTCCAGAAGACAAACCAGCTGCTGAAGTGACGCCGCGGTCACAGTTCGAGCCCAAATGATGTTTTCCCGCCTCGGCACTTCAACACCACAGCGGATCCCTCCACCTCTGCCTCACCTGGCGCCCAGCTGTGCAGACATGGCACCCTCCAGCACGGCCAGTCCCTCCTTGGCGCTGAGCGCCCCAATGCCCATCGCCTCCACCTTTGCCGCCGTCGCCGCCGCCATCCCCGCGCCCGCCCAGGCGCCGAACTGGACGCTCCTGACCGGCAGCCCCGCGCCGCCCATCGCCGCCGCCGCCGCGTCGAGTGCGGCGTTGGCCGCGGCGTAGTTGGCCTGGCCGGCGCTGCCCAGCAGGGATGCAACCGAGCTGAACAGCACGACCTGCGTGACAGGCGCGGCGGCCAGCAGCGAGCGGCGCAGGGGGCCGAGCGCGCCGGCCTTGGGCGCCGCGGCGCGGCGCACGCCAGGGAGTGTCTGATTGGCTAGCGAAGCGTCTGCCAGCACGCCGCCCGCGTGCATTACCCCCGCCAACGGCGGCGCGCCGCGCGCTGCGAGCGTGGCGGGCAGGGCCGCCACGTCTGCTGCGGACGCGGCGTCGCAGGCAGTGATGGTGACGGCTGCTGCAAACAGGGGACTGCTGGGATCCAATAGTGGCAGCGGGGCGCCACCGTCGCCTCCTGCTGCTAGGCAGCCGGCGCGGCTGGTGAGCAAGAGGTGGCGCGCCGCGCCGGCCCCCGCCAGCCACGCGGCCACGAGGCCGCCCAAGGCACCGGTGCCGCCGGTGACCAGCACGCTTCCCGCGCCGCCGGCCGCGAGGGCGTCGGCGGCGCCGGTGGTGGCTGGGACGCCGGGGCCGGCGGTGCGGGTGCTGACGACCACCTTGCCAACGTGGCGGGCCTGCAAGTTTTTGTGCCATGGCGGGAGCCATTGAGGGCGCGCGTATGAAAGGGGGAGTCACAATGGAGGGTTAGCCGCCGTACTGTCTGTGCAAGAGGCCAGCTATCGAATTTTGAGCTGGCAAGCAATCCAGTTTCTAACAAGGATTGCAGCAGCATGCCCGACTCGCAATCCCAGCACACCTGGAGCGCTGACCGCCCGGTCAAACTTCTGCAGACATCCGTGGCCGTCTTGCCGGCTTTGGAGCGTTCCTTAACTACGTTCAACAATGAAAATCCCCACACTTACATAAGACCACACCCATATTGCAACACAAAACCCACCTGGCTCATCTGCCGCAACGCGGCTTGTGCGGCTGCCATGCCATGCACCACGCCCCGCAGCGGCGCCATGCGGCCGGCCGCCAGGTCAGCGGACAGCTGGCGCAGCAGCTTCTGAAGCACGGTTTCGGGCAGGAAGTCCACCGCCAGCAGGCTGTACGCCACGTCGGGACGCTGAGCGGCCACCGCTGCACCAGTCCACACGTCGCGCTTGCCGATCTCCACCAGCCGCCCGCCAATCCGCAGCAGCGCCAGCGCGCCGCCCACCATGCCGGGTGACGTCAGCGAGTTGAGCACCACGTCCGCGCCGCCGGCTGCCACTGCCAGGTCACACGTAAAGCCCGTGTCACGGCTGCCGACGACAGCGCGCGCGCCGAGCGACCGCGCGAGCGCCCGCTTGGCGGGGCCGCCTGCGGTCCCCAGGGCGCGCGCCCCTGCGGCGACGGCCGCCTGCAGCGCGGCGAGCCCCACGCCGCCAGCCACCCCATGGACCAGCAGCGACTCGCCGGCCCGCAGGCCTGCCAGCTGGCGGAGCGCGGCGTTCACGGTTGTCAGCACCGTGGGCGCCGCGGCCGCCGCCTCAAATCCGAGGTTTGGCGGCATCGGCGCCATCGCCAGCGGCGAGCACAGCGCGTGGGATGCGAGGGCGCCTGTGGTGAGGCCGAAGACGGCGGCGCCGGCATCAGGGCCGGAGGCAACGACACCAGCAAAGTCGGAGCCTGGGAGGCCTGGGTCGCCGGGGTACATGCCCAAGACCTGGGTTCGGGGTTTTGTGCAGGTGGTGAAGGGGGTTGCAGGCGTGGTGATCAGAGCGTCTGTGTGATTGGGATTTGGCCGCTGTGAGGATATGGGGACTCATACATGCTGTTGGCAACCTGGGCTGCTGATGCTGCATCAGGTCAAATCAAACCAACATGGTGGCAGCTTGTAGGCAGGCACGTCCTTGCCTGCCTTGACCCCTCCTGCCTCTTCCCGCCACTCACGTTGAGCACGTCCCGGAAGTTGATGCCAACAGCCTTCACCGCCACAACCGCCTGCCCAGGCCGCGGCACCACATCGGCGGCCACGGGCACCAGCGACTCGAGCGCGCCCCTCGGCCGCGGCTGCAGCTGGTACGGCCCCCGCGCGCGCGCCGCGGCTGACGGCAGCAGCCGGGGCACGAGCCCGACCGCTCCGCTGCGGCGGGCGCCGAAAGCGTCCCGGTGGAGGGACGCCTTAAGCGGCGCGGCCGCCGCCGTTGCAGACAGCGCGGCCGGGTGCGGCAGCCAGTGCTCAGGGGCTGCTGCCAGAGGATCTGACTCCGCAACTTCCATGTGTGAATCTGGGATCTCCAAGGCCAGGGTCCTGAGGATTGCACCAGCTCCCGCCGCGGCCGCCGTCGGCCGCCCGTTGAGGCGCAGCGCGGCGGCGCGCGGGGGCGCGCCGCCTGCCCCGGGCAACAAGGCGCCCTTTGCCGCCACAAGCGCGGCTGCTATGGCCTTGGGTGCTGGCACGCCGCCTGGCAGCCACACGCGCGTTGCTGCGGCCGCGGCGTCCTTGTCGCACTCCTCTTCCGCCACGGGGGCCTCCGCCAGCCACTCGACCTCATAGATCAGATCGGACTGCTCAGAGGCAGCAATCTCGGACGCCACCGCGGCCGTCCCAGCCGCCCTCACCGCGGGCGCCCGCAGGCTCATGGGCTTGGCGCGGAGCCCCTGGATCCAGCAGATTGCGCCGTCCCCCCTGCCAGAAAGCAGCCGGAAGTCGCTGACCGCCTCGCCCGCGCCGGCGCCCCCGTGCGCGCGCGGTGCGGCCAGCGCCGCCGACGGGCGCTCTGCGCCGCTGCCGGCGCTGGGGCCGTCAGGGCCACTCAAGACTGCCGCATCGACGGCCGCGGGGACGTAGCTGGCGCTGCTGCCCAGGCGGTCCAATATGAACACCTGACCCAGCTGAAGGAAGCTGTCCAGCTCTCCCAGGTCGGCCCCAGCGTCCTCGCTCTTGCTTGCTGCCCCCTGCACCCACCCAAGTGCAGGCCCGGCTGCGGCCGGCGGCGGCGCCAGAGGCGGGCGCGCACTGGCCAGCAGCCGAGCGGCCCGCGCGGCGAGGGCGCCCGCGCGGTCAAGCGGGCGGGCTGGAGGCGCCGCCACGAGACGCACGCTGCCGACGACGTGGGTGGTCGGCCTGCTGCTAGCGGCGGATGCGTCATCAGAAGGCGCAGATCTGATCAGCAAGCCGCCATCCGCGGGGCTGAGCTCGCAGATGAGCTGCGGAGTGTGCGAGGCGGCGCCGCGGTGCGGCAGCAGCAGAGGCGCCTGGATTGTCAGGCCGGACAGCGCGGTCTCAAAGCTGCCGCTGCCCCCGCCGCCGAGTGCGAGATGCGCCGCTGTGGCTGCCATCTCCTGCAATGCGTTGTTGGGGTTGGAGGGAGGGCGTGCGGCTTGAAGATACTGAATAACAGCTTTGCAAAAGGAGATATTTGCAGATTCCGGAAGTCCCACAGGGGAGTTGCAGACACAAGCAGTTGCAAGGATAGACAGCGCCGCCGACTGCCCCCTGCGCAGACGAGCCCGCATTGAAGCACTGGGCCCACGCGATTATAACCGACGTGGGTGCCTTAGCAGCGTGCGCAGCAAATAAATGCATGAAGTGGCTTGAAAGCCTGGAAGCCTCACCAGGTATCCTGCCCCTGGGAAGACAGCACTGCCAGCCACGACATGGTCCCACACATAGGACAGCTGTTGGGCTGCCAGGTCAGCAGCAAAGACGACGGCAGGCTCGGACCCCCCAAGGGCGGCCAGGGCTGCCGCGCGGCGTGCCAGCAGGTGGGCCGGCGGCGCCGCCCAGTGGCGGGCGCGGCGCCAAGGCATGGCCGGCGCGCCGCCGCAGGCGGAGGCGGCGCCGGCGGCCAGCGGGGTGGAGGTGATGACGTGGGCATTGGTGCCCTGAGAAGGATGGAGCCGGTGGG